GCCCTTTTCCAGGGCGAGGCGGGGGAGGAAGTAGTAAGAAATAGTGGAATAAAGAAGATACTGTCTCATACACGATGCATCATGACAAAGCAGAAATAAGCATCTCTTAAGCATTTCCAGCTCTTAAAGTAACTATAAACAAGAGTACTGCATCTACTAGGGACGTTGAATGCATTTATTTTTAGCCTTAGACAAAATCCTAGACAGTTTTATTCGGTAGAGATTTTTAAACACTGCCAACCAGCTTCTCGTGTCCCTTTTTGTTCTTCTAACACGGCTAACACAGCCACTGCGGTCTTTTTGAAAACATCTTTTCCTTCATAATTTGATAGCAGTTATCAGTGAATTGAGCTTTTCAAAGTACTGAAATACTGTGCTGGGTGGCTTAAGAAGCCCAAAAATGGTGTTGGTCATTCCTGCATATTTTTTGTGATTAATTTCATGTGTAGATTGCAAAGCACTTCATTCAAGAACATAAATCAGATCATCAAAACTGTACAGACAATCAAAATGAGACAAAAAGATGAATGAACTTGCACAAGTTCTCACAACAGGTTTCTACTCACTTCTACTCCAACACTTTTCATTTCCAGATTATATACAAATGTTTTCAATTGCATCTTTTCTAGCAATTTGCATTAATTATTGGAAGAGAGGCTGCCCAGAGAGATTATGGGATTTCCATCCTTGGACTCTACAAGGCACTAAGCAATCTGATCTAACTTTGCAATTATCCCTGCTTTGAAGAAATGTTTATAGATTACAGACGCCGGAGGTCCTTTCCAGCATAAATTCCATGAGTCTGGGATAAGGTAAATTGTTGTTACTGTAATTCTCTATCTCCATATGCGTCTAAGATTTAGATGCGTTACATATTCTCTCCACTTGAAATATATTTAGGCCAGAATAATACGGATTACATAAACGCATACACATTGACAAAGTAAAACATAGATTTATCTAGATTAGCTTTTGGGTCCATGGAAAGATACTGTGTAAAGTACACAATGAGTGAGTTCTCCCTGTTGTGTGCATTGCTCCCTTGTTATTCCCTTTGGCTCACATACTGCAAATATATATGCCAATATTTAAGTATACTGCTTTGAATAGCTCAATTCATAAATGTTTATAGGATCAGACCTTTGCAAAAGGTATCTCAGAACACCTTTTCTAGATTTATGAAGATGCTTGAATATTAGTAGTAAATAAAAAACACAATAGCGAAGATATTAAAAGACCTATTTATTATATCATCAGCATCATCCCTGCTGTAAGTCTTCCAATGTTTGGTTATCTTGTTTGGTTTTCAGCCTTGTTCTTATGAAAAAATAAGAAAGCTGCTAATAACATAACTAAGCTTTTTCCATAATAAATTACTTACTTACCAGAATTTATAAAAAACAAATGAAATACTAAGGCTATCAACCAAAAATCAAGTTATTCAAGCTTTCACTAAAGCTATCTATAAATATTATGTAATTGAGCAGAAACAGTGGTTCTGCTCCCTTACTTGAATAATACACCAAAAAACGTCCATCTGTAAAGATAAGCCAAATTTGTCATTATCTGCATTCTAGTTAGTTCAGCATTGAACTATTTTATATATGTCAATGAATATCATCCTAGTCATTAATAACAGTCAACAAATACAGTAGCTGAACCACATGCTAAATCTTATATTCAAAAATTGACATTTCCACAAGCTATTTCAATTTACTGGTTTTATCAATGTAAGGTTACGCTACTGATATAAGTAGGTAACGGACATACATTTGTTTTCTGTCATAGATTTACCCAGTTTTACATGGAACAATTTTTGTATTTTTTTTTTATTCTTGCTTGCAAATAATCCTATCGCAGAGTCCTCTTTCTGAAAACATCCAATCATCTGTCTAGAAATGTCTCTAGCACATGGAATTTCTTGTGCATTCTCTGCAACTTGTATGTTCAAATTCAATAGTTATTAGCATTTCTATCTTCAAAAATGTTTTGATATTACTGGAAGCCTTTGTGACATTTGCAGTCTCTTAAGTATTTCTACTTACAAGCAAATTCTCCTAATTGTTGACCTAACTGCATAACTTCAAACCATAAACATTTAATCTATACTTCTGTCCATATATCCTATTTTCCTATACATACAGTACCTCAAATACTTGACAAAATATTTTAGCTACTGTAGACATGCCACTGATTAGGAGGAAAAAAATGCACACAGGACATTAACACTTATCAGTATCTGACATAAAATATTAATTTTAGCAATATAACCTTTGCTTACAAATGGGACAAAACAAATTGTAAAAAGAGTCAAACAAAAAGCCAAGTTGAGTATTACATAAATGAAATGACAGAGGAGGTTAGAGTAAAATAAAAAAAAAAAAAAAAAACCACACAGCACCCACTTTTACTGGGAAAGATTTTACTTTAGCTGCATTAGCACTATTAAAAAAAACTTACCAAATTACATTAAATTTAAATTTGCAAAGCATAACAATTTCTGTAGGTGAATCTTAGCATTGAAAAACATGAGGCCAAACCAGTCTAAAACAACTCTTAACAGATTGTTTTATTAAAGCAAGACCTCACTTAATTTTGCTGTTCTTCGACATTGTGTCAAAATACAAAATACTCTTGAAAGATGTTATTGATGATCTTTGTTTTTTCCCTGCCTCTGTAAAATGGAGATAAAAGAGAAAATAAAGACAAATGTTGACACACATGTTGTGCAATTCTAGAAAAGGTTTAAGTAAAAAAATGCTTGCTAATCAACACTTGTACACATTTCCAAAGAACAGCAGAAACACCATCTACTCTATCTATAGACAACATCTGTGTAAAGAGTATGTGTATTAAATAGGTTAAAATTGCCAAGGAGATTTTCATAAGCCATCATCAGAAAAGATATTTGAACTCAATATTTACTTGCACTTCTTAGTAAACATAAGGATTAATTTAGAATGCTTAAGCAAAATTCTAATTCTCTTCGTATCCTGTCAGGTAAGGTCAGTGTGGCACTCTCTAAAAGCACCCAGTGTAGCTCTAAGCACAAGCCATGATACTGTTGTAACGGAGACCATTCTAATGCTTGCTGCAGCACAGGACTGCAGTGACAGAAAGCGCAACCCCATGGGTTGCAAATTCTGTGATGGTCTGCGAGGTGTCCTGTCCTTTTTTGCAAGTTGGATCAGGGTCAAAAACTGAAAACTGACCTCACAGCATATGATAGCAGAAAATCAAGTTTCAGTAACTCGTGGTACTTCTTCGAAAGTCCATCCTTTCTGAAATGGGTAGGGCCACAAAAATCAAGTTCCAGTGATGATGCCCCCCGCCCCCCCTTTTTAAACTTAGTGGTGGCTTTTTTTTTTTTTTTTTTTAAACAAAACAAAACAGAACAATGGGTAATTTTTTCAGTTGTGAAATCTTTCTGGGTTCTTCTCTTTCTCTTGTTTAAAGTTCTTGCATTCATGTCCAGGGAACATTTTTCCTTGTCCTATATTTATTTTATTATAATTGAAAATTATGTAGATTTATATAGCATTTCACTTTGATAGATAATGCATTATTACTGACAATATAATCTTAAATATTTCTAAAGAATGATTACTTTGTCAAGGTAGTGATGGTTCTTATAAATGTTAGGTTTAGCCATTTCCTCACTGTCACCCATTTATTGCAACACAGCATTTTTCCCCCGACTTTTAACTTCATTTCTATTGTTCTAACATAGCTTATACCCTTCACAGTCTGTTTTCCAGTTAGGACATCTATCCCACTGGGTTTCTGTTATTTCTACACTATGCAGATTTTCATTAGTGCAGGAGAAAGCATACCTCTATTGTCTCCATATCCATTATTCAGAAAAGACCATCAGCCAAAAAATGCTTAACTTTTCAGGGTTAAATCCATATGACTGGAGCAAAGTCAATAGAGGGGGATCTGTTTTTAGTAAGGCTCAGTTTGGTACTGGCCTCCTGTTAAAGGTGACTTTAAAAGAAATTATGCAATTCACGATGACTTTATTTGGACATTTATAAGTATGTGAGCGTACAATTACGCTACACAACTAACCTCATCTTTCAAGTGAATATATACAGGTTTTTTTAAACACTGACATTCTTGGTTGCGCATTTGACTCTGTGTCTTCAAGTTAGCATCTTGGTTTTTTTTGGAGAGCTACGAAATTGTGAATAAGCCCATCTCTTAGTTATTTTAAACTAACTGAAATCTGTTGTAAAACTGAATGTCATATTGTAAAGGAATATTTCTTCTAATAACCTTGAAAATGTAAATATTGCATTATTAATAGTTACTAATATTCAAAAAACAAAGAAGTATCTTTTTCTCATCATTCTGACATTAACATGCCAAGCTTATTTAGGTTTTAGAAGCAGCTAACACATAACAGGAATTAACTCAAAATAAACATCAATAATACTATGACTGAAAATACAAAAACAACCCTAATTAAATTCTCAGCCATTTGTCTCCAGTAGCAAGCACAGATGCTTCTATCAATGCCCTGACCTAAAGGCAAACTTGATCTTTAAGTTAGGCAAATTAATTTTCTGGCAATACAAACTATTTTTTCTGGTAATACTCACATCTTTCATAGGTGGGTATCAAGTTATACTTTTCAGTCAACCAAATATTGTTACTACGCTCATCTCTGTTTGAACTATCAGTTTTGTTTTTTCTAATTGGAGTCAAAAGGATACCTTTAAAAAAAAACACAATAAAAAGTTATCTTTTTCTTGAAAAAAAGCACAGAACATGGATAAAGTTTTAGGAATTAAAATTTAAGGCAAGACCATCTTCTGAGCTATACTACTATCTGGTCTTGAGAGAAAGACTGGAAAACCCAGTTTACTTCAAAAAAATTTTTACTTATTAAAGGTAATTAAGGTTGTTGAGATGAAAAAAACAGTTATTTTTAAAAGACTTCAAGGGCTATCATAGCCAGATGAATTTGTGAATTTGAAGAAAATCAATCATTATCAGAAATTTATCAATAAAATAATGATGCAACTTATATTCTCTTTTCCATGTCTACCTTATCACAGACTTTTATTCGATGCCTCATACCAGACAGCCAAGCAGATCTCATCTATTTAGTTTTCTGCTAAGCTCTTAACTTTGTTGCTCTAGCATTGCTGTGTTCAAGTTTTACCCTTTTAGCTGTTTCGCACACTGAGATCTAAATCCTTAGCAGAGTTCCATGCAGGTACAGAAACAAGCGGAACAGGATAACACTATTATAACAGTATAATAGAATGACGTTGAATCCAGAAACATACAACTGCACTATGATCAGATCCTGACTACGCATCACTGTTTTAAAAATTAAGGTCACAAAACCCCAAAATAGTGGAGGGCATGTAAGTAACCACGACAGGATTCAAACTGGTATCTACAAAGCAAGTGCCAATATACACATTAGTTAACAATGAAATTAATTTAATTATAGAATATCCATTTTCTGGCTCACAATAAGAATTTTGACAGTACTCAGAGCAAGAACTTAATTCCCTACCCAAAGGCTCTCATGGAAGTCCTGCAATAGAATCACTCAGACGATAAGGACTTTTTACATTAATTTCAGAACTAGGCCCTTACTTTGGAAATTTTCATTTCTGCTCTTAAAAGTTGATGTCTCTTTATGCAGTCCTCCTTTATTCACTGGCGTTAACAGTATTTCTGGAAAGTATAAGATGTATGCTAGTGCAAATGCCAGCAATTAATAACTGTTTAATATATCTTCTTTTAAAATACAGAAATACAGACTGAACTTTCCTTTAATTACTTCATTGATTAAGGCCTCTTATCCATAAGGATGCAACATTAGAATTTAACGAGCTTGTCATCATGCATCCATTCATGTTTATTTCAACTTAATACATTCCCTTCTGTTAATACTTCACTAACTCTGCAAAGAGGACTTACAGCCTCACGAAAACCTATAATGAGGATGCATCACTACTGCCAGGAAATACATGATCGCTACTCCTCAAAAGTGGCTAGTTCTGATCTCATTTAGTAGAAATGACAAATAAATTAAATCAGCAATTACCAGACTGTTAGAAGATCAGAATCAAGCCTAAAATAAACAAACATGATTTAAAACATCAGTTATAGGTACTAAGAAAAAAAAAGTTCATAATTACTCTTGTAAGCTGCGTAACTGCTGTTGCTACAAACAGCCAGTTTCCTGAGTTCCTTTTTATATCTTTCTTCAGCTTCCAGAATGACTTTGTGACGATCACATGGGTATGGACAAGTTTGCAACATCTTGCTAAAGGTTTTGCTATTGAAGGACAGGCCTGGCGCTGTACATCCTGGTGGGGGGAAGGGAAAGCATACTATAGAAACAGCAAGCATGACTGTTACAGCAGCCATCAAATCCAGCCTTTTTGTTATTTTGCTCACTATGATCTACAATTTGCCTTCCATTTTTTCACATACACATCTCAAAAAAGGGCAGGCCTTTCTGCATCTTCTTGAAAATACTCATTTTTTGTTTTGCATTTACTCTCCAAGAAAATATGCATTTTCAACATGACCTAGGAGAGCAAGTTATACTGCATTTCTACTGCAGAAGTTCTGAATTAAGCACAGATCCTCTACAAAAGTAGAAGAATACTGACAGGACAAGAACAGGTTCTTTATACAAGGGCCAAATATAGAAATTGTATTTTCTATACTTTGAAACATTCTCTACATCATAACAATTATCTGCATTAAACTGAAGGAACACTAACTTGAACTCAGGTATGAATTTCCTCACAGCAACGCCTACCTGTTTGCTTCTGAGGACACACCTATGGTAATTTACAGTCGGGCACACAGTTAGTCAGCAGAAGAACTTTCTCTGCTCTAGGGCACGATAGGAAGGGCACTGGTACATATGTCTTTACAGTATTCTGGCCTGAGATAAAGCAGCACTAGAGCTCCAGTTGAATCCACCTGGACAACTTCATTTCATATGACTTATCTTAAATCACGTTCAAAAGTGGATTGTGGGCTTTTAGGTGGGGTCACAGGGTTGATTACAAAATCCCCTTATAAACCTTGCGTAGCATTCACATAAGCTACTGCAGGACGGAGTCCATGATGTAGAAGATGGGGTAACCGAAGGCTGCAGTCACTGGTTACTACACAGACTGCCTGTACTTAATAGCAGTAAGAGGAAAATTGGAAGGGCTGCAGAATAGTTAGGAAGCGTAAAACATTCGGGAACTTAGCGTTAAATTTTTTGCTCCCCTTCTCCGACAAGGGAAAGCAGGAAAATAACTGTTCTTAAGTATTTCTCTAAGTATTTTATGTTTTTTTAAGCTGTTTTATATTCTGCTTATTTGTAAATCTATCTTAGATAAAGATATATAGACCTAAATTTGAATACGTTAGCTTTATTTCAACATTTATGTTTTATTTTAGGGGCAGAAAAAGGAAAGGAAACAATTAAGAATTGCAGATTAGTTAATCCAATAGATGTGCTAGAATTTGTGTAATGTCAGCTCATTTACTGAATTGCTGAGATGCTACAAGACATCTTGTATGGAATTAGGAAAAAAAGAGACCTAAAATAATACTTACCCAAACACCTTAAATCTCCTGTTTTAAGGGATGCAGATGTAGTCAAAATACTTTTTTCTTCCTTAGTTATCTCTGAGTAGGATGTATGTTGATCTAAATTAGGAAGAAGAAAACACTGAGAAATGAAATGCAATCTATTTTTTGCTGCAGTAATTCTACATCAGTATACTATGTTCAGTGGATTATTAGAAAAGTTTAATTTACCTAACAGCAAAAAAAGCTAAAGGAAAATCCTGAAGTTAAATAGATCGATTTACTTTTTTTTTTTTTAAATCTGGAATAATTCCATTTATTTCAATACTTACTTTTGGTTTGCTCTCTAAAAGCAACATATTGTTTCAATTTGAACATACCAGGAAAACTCTATATACTTACTTTAGCTAAGTTCTATAAGCTTAAATTGTATTTGGGATGCGATGTTGAAAAATGTGATGTATTGGAATAATCCTTACTCTCCATTTAAATAGTCATCATCTGGAGATCAGTTTGGTCCCTTCTAAGGCTACCATTCTGGCAAACACTATTCTAATGAATAATCAGTTTTATAAATTAACAGCCAACTAAATTATGAGGAAAGATTTGGTTTGATTCCAGATGCCAATTCTGGAAAAAAAAAAAATACCAGAGTAAAAAGATCAATGCAAGTCTGATAAACTCTTATCCCACAACACATATACCTGTGTTTAACATGAAGGAGTAGCTCCAGGCAAAAACCGCTCTCTCAGTCAGGCTCTGTCCCCCAGTCTTAAGAGTACAGAACAAAACCAGTACCCTGATACGTTTTCTCTTAATGGCTTCCATCGTTAAAATACAAATTGCGTTCAGACTTAATTCAAAACGCTTACCTGTGATGCATGCATTTGAGTAGTTAAAATAAATAAAAAAAGAAAGCTAAAATATGGATTAGAAGACATCTAGAATAAATATTCTCTTGGTAAAATTATATACAATATAAGATTTTCAAAGTATGCAAACAGCTGTAGAATTTTATGCATAGTATTCCGTCATCGGATTGTATCTGACAAAAAGCAATGGTAAAAGTAAGTATAACTGACTAATTTTAAAAAAGAACATTTGTTAAGAGCAAAATTATCTAATCCCCCCCCCCAAAAAAAAAAAACAAACAGGGAATATTTTTTAACTATTTGTACCTGATGTGCATGCCTGCTTCAGGTTTCTAACAGTCTTTAATGGTTGTTTAAACATATGTTCACTAGGAAGAGCAAAAACATGTGAACAAGTTTAAAATCAGACTTCACAACATACATTTAACTGTAAATCAATAAATTAATACATGCTATACAAAGGCAAAGCAAAAGCATAATAAATACATAAAAATAAAACATAACTCTAGTTATTCCAAGTTACTAGGCTAGACATAGTCAACATGTCATTATATTATAGATCTGATAATCAGAGATCTGTGATTATCATCCCTTGCAGTGCTATTCAGAATGTCTGTTGCCGCATCTGCGATTCAGTGCTTTCACAGGATGGTAATTTCTAGAGTCATTTGTAATTCTGGTTTACATAAGGATTACTTGGTGCATGCAACTTTTGCAAACCCTTTGTTGCAATGCTGTAGTTTTCACCAGATGTAGCAGTCGCTCTAAAAGATACTTCATTTTCTTCTCTGATTTTCTTACACTGATTAACTTTTATTCTGCCAACATGATCCTACAATATGTGTGATTTCATCATGCATTTTGCTGTGTTACAAGCTACCTCTGAATACTGCAGGAGCAGTAAGTCTAACCCATGGTCATACTTGGCTATTTCCTGTTTTCACACAAACCCATATACCAGGAGAGAGGATTCTCCCTCCTCCCCCCCCCCAGTTATTTCTTAAAAGATTCATGCTTTAAAGGTCAGAACAATAAATAAAGAAGCTGTGTGAAATTACATCAACCAGTAGCAAAGTAGAACTTACCTAACCATGGAACACACCCTGTGTTTTCTGTAATTTCTGTGGTAGTTGCAAAGTCACAGTATAATGCATGTTAAGAAAATACAGAGGAACATGGTCCAGACAGCCACAGGAAAAAAAAAATGTAAAAATGGGAAACCCAAAAAAGGAGAATACTGTGGCTTTCATACTCTCATTGTCTAACAGGGGGGTGGGAGGTGGGGAGGGAATATTCAAAATATAAATTCAAGATAAAAGAATTTGTATTTATCGTTGCAGTTACCTATTATTGACTATCATTTTAACGGATAGTAAAGATAACCAGGAGAAGTGAAAAAAAAAGAAAAGAGAAAAGCATATGTTTGTGTGAGACTGATATACAAAGCAAGAGAATAGTAAATGTCAATACAAGGCTGTATCTTTGTCATCCCATACGGAGAAACAGTTGAATGCGAGGGGATATTCCTACTTTGTAATCAATACCATTTCAATTTTGTGTAGAGCAGTTCTGAATTGCTGTTTTTCCAGTAGGTGAATACCACAGAAGACTGTGTGGTTTCATCTAAATAAATGGGTCAAAAACGGATCTGCTGAATCAGTGGGAATTTTGTGGCAGACACTATGGATGCTTTTTCATCATTACGCTCAAAGCAGTAGGACATAACCAGTAACAGGCTCTCTGTACAATCCATCAGATGCCTACCCCTTAAGAGAAAAAGATGAGAAGCTTTTATTACTGCAGCAAGTGTCTATAATCTTTGCTCTGTGATGTCAAAAATATTTCTGCAATACTCTCCGGTGGGCAACCAAAAGGCGCTCTCTCTCTTCACTTGCAGAAAAAGACATACTTGGTAACCATTATGTAAAAAGGCTGACATTCTCTGTGGAAATTACTAACGAAAAGAAACAGTATTTCTGCTTAGATGTAAAATACATACCTTACTTGAACAGACTGATTTTTTTCACAAGCAGTTTTTTCGTGTATGCTTTGACTTTGAAGTACACTGTCCATTTGCAGTTCAACCGAACAGGGAATATTACTCTGTTCATTTTGTCCAGTAGAAACATTCATTGGATTCATAGTCTTCAGTGTTTCATTCTGCAGTGGTAGAGAATTTGCAGATGGCACAACAATCCAATCATTTGACTTACAGGTTAACTGTGGACAACGTACTTTATATGTTCTTTCCATTTGAGTTTTTAGGTCACCAGCATCCATTTCATGGCATTTTGATGCATCAGTACTGGCTTCTGAAGATCTGTCAATAAATATTTTTCTTTGTACTCTTTCCTGTATTGAAAAATACTAGTTAGTGATTATATGAGATCTATAAAAATCCTAAAGTAAATCCAGTAAGATTAGGATAGGCCAATATAACTCTAAAGGTAAAGCAAATTCCTCAGAACTTCAAAAACCCCAGATTAAGTTGAGAACTAACAAAACAGCAAGGTTGTTAGAGTTGAATATACAGGAGTTGAAGGGAGTGGTTATCAAGTAGCAGTTCCAGGTTGAAGCAATGGATTCTGTACTAGTACAGAGCACTGCTAGTAATTGAAAGATTGAATTAGCTAAATAAGTCAAAAATATGCTATTCTGCACCCAAAGATAACAAGTAGTTATACAACAGAAAAAGTAAGAAATAACAAAGCTTCATTTTAGTTTATGGTCAGATCTGTCCATATAAGCTACCCTGTAATAGTTGTACAATCGCAGTCATTTCATGCGAGCAAATGTTAAAGTTACAGATTCAAAGTATATATCAGAAATTAACAAAAAACCCTCTAGTTTTACAACCTAGATGATCTTGATTTTATGCAAAGTCTCATTTTATAATAGACTAAAATGCTTCATTAAAAAAAAACACAGATGACTGCATTCTCCAATTGCCCTGCATATTTCTAGCTTAGTACGATACACAGTAAGGACAAATTTAAAAATTAGAGGATTTAGTTTCACATACATCCGGTATTTTCCTTACTTTTCTAGCTCACACTGAAATTATCTTAAAGGTGTACTTCCTATTTCTCCTTAAACTCTGGCGACATCTGCTTAGTTTTATCCTATTTTGGTAAATAGGCCAACCTTATCACGCTCTTTTTCAATCAAGTTTATTCTGTGTAAAATTTCTTTTGCTTTCTTCCAGTAGTCTTGGAGAGTTCTTTCTCTGCTTTGCACATCCACTTCCAACTGTTCTGCGCTGTTCACGTTTAATGAGTTCTCATTTATTTTCAGGGACAATTGTTCAGCTTTATAAATTATAAAACAAAAATAATACTCCAAATTTTATCATCGAATACCTTTATAAATATTTATTACATTTTAGTCTTGAGGGACAGGCCCCCCAAATAACTTTTAAAGCAAAATATAATCTCTTAATAATAATTTTGATACAACTGTTAAATTAAGTTTACATATAACTGTTAATACATTTCAAATATAAACTACCATCACAAGAGGCAAGCCCACTGTTCCAGCTCATTAATAGTTGAGCTTGTAATTATTGCAAGTTGCTTACAATAATGTTCTACTGTAAAAAATAATGTCTTTACCATGGGCTTAATCCTCATTTAGCAGGTCCTTTACCAGTATGGATCTGTTCAATATGTTTTTTTTGAAGAAGCCTCCATATTGATGGCCATTGAAAAGCACTGTCTCCTCAATCTTAACACCTAAATAAGACTCCCAGATAGACTTTTACTACAAAAAGGTATATATATATAATTTTAACACTACTTAGCAATTGCACAATATCTTCTGGTGCTGTAGAAATTAAAGGAAAAGTCATTTTTCTGTATTATCTGTGGTATTGTACAGTTATCTAAAGAACCTTAAACAGGATCCTTCAAAATACACCCTACTTCAGAAATTAGGATGAAGGTTTTTTGGTGTTTTGTTTGTTTGTTTGTTTCTTGTTTTAAACACTACTGCACAATAATTGCAGTCATGGCAATTACAGGCTTGGTCTCTGTGTACAATGGTACATCTGTGTAAATGGAATTCTAATTGGGTGTGAAATGCCACTGTTAATATTTTGTACAAGATTTATAGCTGTGAAATCTTTTAAGAACTGTCTCTACATATGTAGGTTAGACAGATGCATTCTTAAAATATTCTTAGAATTTTAGAACATTTCTTTTTTCCCCTAAATGCCATAATCATTTCATTGTGTTAAATATGCAACTGTTCTGCAAAAGAAAAATATTGGTGTACACAGCATTACAAAGCTGGTGCACTTTAAATCATTTGGAAAGTCAACAGAACTTAAATATGAAGAATAACTTACCTAATATTTCAAACAACAACAGTAGACTTACTCATGTGTTTGCAGTTTTGCAGCACAAAAGTAGCAGCTTTGTTTAGTTCCTCATCCTGAGACTCAGTTAACACTTGAATCATAAGTGGAAGACCATTGTTCTTAAGCAGTTCGTATTGGTTTTCTTCTAAAATAGACAGTGGTAAAGGAATATAGAGCTGCTTAACCCATACACGCTTAATAATCCTACAGTAACTTTATAAAGCCAATACCAGTAACTTTCAGGGAAGTTCAGAAAAAATAGATTTTTTATTATGGATTCAAATCTATTGTGAAGGCCTAATTCTTGAGTTGCCGCAGAAGCTGTCCAGAGCACAGAGGATGATTTGATCACAGTTCAAAGTATACTCTCTTGTTCTCAGAGAACTGAAGGAAGACTGAGCCAGATTATATGACAGCAACCCAATTTCACTGGATTCTTGCCTAATACATTTGAATTACGGATTCTATATGTCTTTATCTCTGGTGTATGCCCTTAAGTCTATATGCTACATTTACGTAAACGATGAGATGCAGAAATTTCAAAAGCTGAAAGCTTATCTTTAGCTAACAGCAATAAAATCGGTGCTTTAATCCAAGTTCTTTTAATCCTGTTCCTTCATAGACAAGAAAAGACACTTCATCCTCATTAAGTGTGTAATTATCTTCTTTTTAAATTATGTTATCATTTGCAGCATGTATTCATAAAATTTACAACTTTCTAATAATAGTTCTGTGTTGTCTAAATTTGATAAAACACAATCACATTTCATCTTTTATTGGTTTCTCTATTTTGACAGGGTTGACATTTTAAGAGAAACTTTTCTTCTGTAGGATAATCATATTTATATTTGAAAGATACTTTCCATTAAGCAAAGCACTTTTTGCTTCAGTCAATTCTTCATGAAAAGGAAGATTTTTAAAGTGTAAGATTTACGACCTACTGAAGCCAGTTACTGAACTTGTTATTGACGTTTCAAGGATGCTGATCAATCAGGGTTTTAGAACACTTTTTGATACATTTCTGAGTACATACGAGGAAAAAACAGCAACATCAGTAATAATGGTCAGTATTTTTGCACTTTCACATTCTGTTTACTTTTATTGCCATAAAATACCAACTTAAGAGCTATGCTTTGAGCAGATGTGCTTGGGCCAGCCCTAAGGAGCATGGCAAAAACATTACAGGTTACTTGCTGCTTATATTGCTTCAAAAATAATACCATTAAATAGATTTTTGTCATTATTAATAGCAATATAAACAGTAAACAGAAGCTGCACATACCAAAGGCCATTAAAATAGAGCTCCAAAAGATTTGTGTGGCATGCATGTAGTTTTCAGGACTTGATGAATTTTACCTTGTGATACCTAAAGACAGCTGAATTCTTGTATAGTATTCTACTTTAAGCTCTTGAACATACCATATGTTAACAGCTCTTAAAATCTAAAGATAGAACATTGTAGAAAACTTTTCCTTAATAGTATTAAATTATTTAATAGAACTTTCCCTGAAGTTCCAAAGTTAAATGAACTGACGTGACTGATGCATACTTTTAACTTCAGAATTAGTAAAAAAAATACTAGGAAAAAAACTTACCACAAACTTCAGTACAGTGTCCAATTGTTAGAATAACACTAATTTTTTCTCCTGTATCCAGAGTGTCATTAGGCAGCAGCTTCAGTAGCTCTGACACGGTGTGATACTTGGCCAAGACAACACCCATGGTAGCTATTATGTTGAAAATAATTGAAGAAAAATAAACTAGACAGTGTATAGCTGTCTAACTACTAGAAGATACTTCATCTAAGCATGAAATACTCCCCCCCTTCCAGGAAAACTCTCTACAGATCTATATAAAAGCTTTGGGATTGCACAGTCTTTTTTTTTTTCCCCTCTTCTCTCACTTTAATTTTAACACTCTCTTGGTGCAATAATTTTGCCCATGCTACTCCCCAAATGCAACACTGCCTTCCCCCACCCCAGAATAAAAATGCATATGTATAGAATTGTGGTAGAAGCTCTGACAAACAAAAGCTTTGCATCATTCAAAGACTGCAGATGTGAGCAGAGTTTCTTCACAGCAGTTCAAGAATATAGCAAATGAAGGCAGAATAAGATTTGATTCATTGGGTATCTACCACAAGAAGAGCTAGGAATGTTTCTGATGAGCAGATATTAAAGGGAGCAACCTCTTCCTGAAACTAGAAACACCACTGCTACTAAACACATACTGAAAGTTTACCCTGTCAAGTACCCACTTCTTTGAAACTGGGCTCTACACCAGTGCAGGTGCATTCTCTAAGCTTTTCCGAGTTTCGGCTAGTGAGCACATAAGGCAGAAGCGTCAAAGATACTGCACACGGCCAACAAAACAGATTCATCAGGCTCACAGATTTCTCAAATCTTCTGATGGAATACATAAAGACCTCCTTAGGCTGCAGGTGTACCAGGAGCCATACTTACATACCATGTTCATTTAGCTGAACATCTGAGTTAATAAAGCCTCCTAAAGCTTATAAAGCTTATTAGTTTAGACACAGGGCTACGAAAATACAATTCTACAACTCCAGGATCCACGCAGACAACAGTGTCCAATTCTCAGCTTTACTTGCACAAAACTAGCTCTGGTATCTTATTTTGTGATTCTCGGTATGGTTTAAATTTCACTAACTATGTTTATTTTAGTCACAATGGAAAAGCAACCCACCTCAAATTCCAGTGCACTCCCACTACATAAGTCTGAATTTTAAAAATACTGCAATATAAACTGTACTTGGGATGTATATAACTTAATTGCCTTTTATCATCCATTCACATTACTTTGCCTTTAAGACTAGACTCTTAACAATTGCAGTTTAGAAATACCATATATAAAAGCGGTAGGGGTCCTTTCACTCACCGTCATTAGCAATGCAGGCATCCAGAGTCTTTGTTACTACTACTGCAAGCTTTGTGCTTGAGTGGCTCATATATGAATCATGCATCAGCTTGATGAGGACTTTAGCTAATGTATCCAATCCTCTAACAGAAGCAAAGTATTTCTGTACATATGCTTAACAAAAAAAGAATAAGATGTGAATCAATTCATATACATCTCTAGTTGCTTTAGCATTTTGTTACTTAGGCCCATCATGATTTTTGTATGCATGTATTAAACGCTCCATTTCCGTCCATACTACGTAACTGAAGTCGGGTATGTATTAGTCTTGAGCAATTTACTAATAGTCTTATAATAACAAGAAATGCACAGCCCTAATAAATGCATGTTAATGGTAAACATCATGCCTGAGTTCTACTTAATTTCAATCATTTTCAGAAATGTAATAATGACAACTTATATCTGTAAAATAATGTTAATCAAAACAACTTCTAAACAGCTTTACATACCTCACTAAACTGTAACCAGTGAGGCTGTTTGTGAAGTTAAGTACAACCCAGGGTAAGTGAAGACAGTGTAATCTACCTCGTAGAGTAAGTCATTGGAACAGAACAAACTTGTAGAGACAGACAAAAAGAAGAAATCATACATTTAACTGCAGAACGGAGCTTACTGTTACAAAAGAAAAACTGTTCAGAGGCTGAGCTGTACTTACAGTTATTTGCAACTGTGAGTCCAACAAATGAACAGATAGGACGAACTATTTCAGGCTCTATGCAACTTTCTAGCCACTCTTTTGCGTACGAAAAAACCGAACAGCAAATGTTTTGATTATCTTCTGGGAAAGTAAAAACAATAAATAACCCCAAATTCAAGTGTAATATGCCATTTCACCGGAACAATAAAAACAAATTGTTGCCGCTTTTGAAAAATATTTTATACTTTCTTCAGGTGATAATAAATGTAGGAATTTTAATTACAGTATTTACCATTTTGAGGATTATTAACACAGGCACAAAGAGTACTGCAGACTGAAGACCACAGCTGATAGCACTGATTAATATTTTCATCTGACAGATTAATCTCAGATATGGAAAGAGTTGTTCTGTTAAGAAAAACAAAGCAAACAAGTTCTAAATAATCCATCGTTTTTCTGGCTGGATTGCTACTGTATTTGTTTACCTGAATAACTGTAGCAGAAGACCAATGCAGCCTGTTTCTCTGACATACGTTTGCCCATTTTCTGAAAATGAACATATACCAGCATCAGAAGAAATGTGCAGCCTGAAACAAAATCTTAAAATGGCAAGTTTAATTTACATATTTACATTCTATTTCCCATATCCTAAGTGCACACATCTCAAAAAAAAAATCCAAATTCAAAAGCACATACAGTGGCAACAGTGTTCCACCTCTCTCTATGTGTTTAATATTTTCTATAATTTTTCAGAAATTACCGTTTGCATCATGTTTTTTTTGAAAATCATAGTTACATTCTTGAGAAATAAAGTACTTTCTGCTACCGCTACTTTTCTGCTCCAGAACTCCAAGTAATGGATGATCTACTTAGATACTTCAGTTACATGTCACCATTAATCTTTATAAATAAGCTTTACCAGAACATTACAGAAATCTGGAACACTCTAAATAATGTAGATTGACAAACAAAAAAATAAAATCATAATTAAAAACTTGGAGTTGTAACGCAGAAAAACACAAAACAAAAAACTTACTGTTATTTGAAACCAGTACTAAGATGACATAAACAGACATCCTTTTCAAGTTCACACCAGAATCTTTATTCATTAAAAATGAAATAAGATCTTCAAATAATGCAGGCGTACACAAAGTCTGTTGACAATAAACTGAAACCAGAAAATAAAAACATTAAGTCCAAAAGCCATTTATAATCTTTAATTATTTTCATAATTAAGTAACGAGAGTCTCAGTCGCATCCAATATTTTGTGAATGGAGCCTAAATGGGGCTACAGAGGGATTTACAACTTCCCTTTGTAGTCAGTTCTAAACCATCCTGGTCCTAGGCAAAATTTGTAAGTCTGAGTCATCATGCATATTAACAAGGAACTGAAGTAGTACATCTGTCTGTTATCATAAAGACATGTTGTCTGTACAAATCCTGAGGAGCAGAAACAGTAAAAAACAATGAGGGATTTCTCCAAATCTAGGACTAGGCAGTGAAACTATATTTAAGGCACCTTTATTGCCTCTCACTCAAGCTAGTATTCTTACAATCCAACTTTTGGTGGAGAAAATCATGAAGAGAAGACAATATACAAGCAGAAGTACTAAAATGTGATGATAACTCAGAAATGTAAATAATAGTATTTATTATTACCATTACTTTCTATTATAATTCCTAGTGTAAATAAAGCTGCTTCCTTCACTATGCAATGAACGCTTGACTTTGCAAGGTCATTTATAAACATCAAACCACCGATTTCTCGAAAATATTCACTTGCTTCACCTACAGCAAAAAGAGGAAGCGAAGAACAAAAATTAAAATTTTGCTTTTGTTTCTATGGAAAATGAAGATCTTCCAAGATTTTATACCTTCAAGTCTTATAATGCTCAGATGTAATTATTTTGTAAAGTGAGGTGACAGACAACTCCTTAACATATATTGTGAAAGTAAATGATTGTATTGTTTCTAAAGGGAAATATCCTGAGGCTAAAGCGATTCTTACTGTTTTGCTGACAGATTGAATAAATAGTTATCAAAGCCTCTTTCTGAGACATAGGGCAGTCCATCTGGTATTTAAGGCATTCAAGCAGTAAGTTCAGATCTGTCTTCACATCTATAAGGGTAAACACAAGAAAACTTCACAGAAGGTGTTTTCTTTATATTAATCTATTTAGTATTACACTACACATGCCACAAGTATAGCACAGCTATGTATTTTGTAAGAAAAAGAGTAAACAAAAATGGAGTTACAGCTCTTCTATTCCTCTGTAAGTACACTTAACCTAAAAATATCCCTCTCCACTGAGGGCGTTTTCCTTTTGTTATTGTAACAGTCCCTTTTTAGTATTTCCAGCCTTTAACTATTAGTAATTTACATCATATTTACTAATAAGTTCTCTGAATGGAAGGTATTTAAGGCATAGTGTAGAACTATGAAAGTACGCAGAGCAAGAACACAGTTCAAAACCCAAGTGAACTGGGAGAGAATTACTGACGGAAAAGGCTAAATACCAAGGCTCCCTGTATAATATGTAGTTACAGAAGACAGAATCACTTATCACAACAGCTAGCACCTTGAATCAGGTTGTTAGGCTTGTAAATTAACCAAAACCTTTTTTTAAATCATTCTGGGCATCTATACACATACCTAGGTATATAAATTGCTTTGAAAAATCTGTTTCTTAGTCTTTGGGGTACAATAAAAAGACTTAAATAGTAATTATTTACAAACTTGGCAAAAACAGATACTGTGTTTTTTTTAAACACACCTAATGGTTTTGTTTTCTTAAGAGAAATTAAATTACAAGAAAAATGTACATAAACATTAGCAAAAGAGGTGACTTTCCGCAGGTATTATTTACTATTTGAAACTTTGTCATTAGATTTGCCTTTTTTCCATCCTAGTACAGAATCCAAATCACCATCACATAATAGGTATATCAGACTGCTAAAATTGTGTTGAATAGATTCACAAAAATAGATGATAAGCGATTTTAGAAATCTTACCACACTGTGTTTTCTGCACCTTTTGATTTTCCATCTTTGGTTGTATCCCTGTTCTTATTCTTCAATGGCAAGGGGAAGGAGGGAGGGGAAAAAAAAAAAGCAAAGCAAAGCATTTTCCCTACTGTTTAGAACAGCTATGTTTATTATGTTATATGCACTACAAATCAAGTCATTTTTCTTAAAATATACTCTTTCCAATTCGCTGGTTCTCTACTAGCATCTCACAGGCTCACAGAGTTTCGTGTGTTTGCAGATGGCAAATATTTCCTTTGGAAATACACCATTTTATAGTAGCACTCTATAACTACTGCATTATTAAGCCAACAGTTTTGAAAGTTAACATTTTGCAGAATTTGAAGCAATTTTACTACCACTGAGGGCACAAAAAATAAGAGACCCTGGCATTCATGTGTCTGGATGCATTATTTATCACAATGATCTGCTCTACTTTCCCTTACAAGAGGCTGCCAGCTTTGCTATCAGTCAAAGGACAGTAGGACCACTAGATAATTTTATATTGAGGACCAAGTGTGTCTGAAATCCAGCATAACATTTTCAGCCTCCTACAATTTAGTGGTTCACTGGGTAGCTGTAATTGTAGCATTACTGAACAAAACCAAAAGATAATAATGAATGTTAATAGAGACATCAGTTATTCTTTAAGCTAAGAATTTATTTTTAGCTAAGGAAGTTATCACATTACATACGTTAAAACAGAAGTCCACAGCAGTGATTTTAAATAAACTTAATATACCAGCATCTCAGATTAGCTGAGCAGTATTCAGAGCAAAAGGTAGGTTTAGAAGTAGAAAGATTGTTAAACTGTGTTTGAGGTCTGTGGCCACTTGTGCCAGTCCACACCCCTATAAGCACATTAGAGTGAAGTAAGAGGTACTCTCAAACTGCACATTAGAGTGAAGTAAGAGGTACTCTCAAACTCTCTACCCAAGTGCTGAAATATGCCTGAATTCATCATTTCATTTCCCTGAACCGTACCCAGAGCCCTAAACACAGGGAGAGGTTGATGTGAAAGTCACTATAGCCCCTCTAGATCTCTCAAGAGAGATTAGCTCCAGGTGGAAACTAGAAATCATTGATTAAAAACAGCTTAGTAATAGATTACTTTAGTTACCCTTTCTCAAAGTAACAGCTCTGAGAAATATCAGTGTCATCCTAATAAAAACAGCCAGTCCTGCTTTCCAGGTATAGCTCGTGACTGACCCCATTTCTCCACTGCTTCCATTGGTTCAAATACTCCATATATATCTGTACAGTATCATCAGTAAAGCCTGTGCCTTGAGAGGGAAAGGGATTCATCTCCCTTTACTATTTCAGTACTGATGATACATGCATTTCTCTCATAAATCTAACCACTGTGGAATGGCAGAAAACCTGCAAGTCTTCCTCACCTCATCTTGCCCCTACCTGATACCACTCTGCTAGCCTAAAAGAATATGAACTGCCTATATATTTTTTAGCAAAAGAAAGGCTGTGCAAGTCAGTTCAACTTCAGAGCAATTTCATTTTCAGTAAAGCTTAATCAAATATGTATTTACACAACTGAAGAGCCTTTCATATAAGTAACCTTTCAGAAAGAAGCGTCTTGACTTCAACTGCTTTTTCTCTTTTGAGGCATACAAAATGTACGTAAAGTATTTATAAACCAGCCCACAATAAAATAAAAATAGCTTAACTCTGTTGTATCACATGGCTAAACTAACAAGATAAATAACAGAATCTGCTGCAACAAAATTTTGGGAAAGGTTGCCTATAGAAGAAATTAGATTATCTCTTCCTTATCAGTTATGCAAAGTAACCCAGCAACATCCTCTTCAAACCTCAAAAAAACCCCAACCAAACAAGAAACCGCCCCAAACACTTTACATACAGCTGTATTAATCCTTGCGTCCGGCAGTATTAGAGCGCTGGCTCGACCATTTGGAAATGGGCCGACACAGAGGTTAGGGGAGCTCACGCAAAGCTGATGAGAAGGTCCTGAGAAAGCTGGGCTGCAGGACTCGCCCCTAGGCAG